ATAAAGATTTTAAATTATTTATTTATTATTAATCTGACTTGAGATTAAACTAATTTAATTAAACTAATAGTTTTTTTTAATTGAATTAAATTAATAAATTTGAAGCCAATTCTTATAAAAAATAAAATAAAATTGGAATTAAAAAAGAAAAAAACTAAGACTAGGATGTAAAAATTTGTTGAATTTAATTGAATAAAATTAGAGACTCATTCTTAAACATTGAGTGTTTGGCCACAAAGCATTTATGTGGCTGCCACATAGTGCTAGTGTGCATTTTCGTTTGTCCCGTGAAAGTAACTTTAACGGACTAGACCAATGTGATACAATTTTGAAAGTTAATAGACTAGTTAGATACACAAAATAGTTAATAAAAAAATAGAAAAAAAGTCAATAGTAAATAGACTATTTGTTAAATTTAACCATTTTTCTTTAACATGTATCTATTAATTTTTTATAAGGTTAATTAATATTATACAATATAAAAATTATTATTTTTGGTGTTAAACTTTTAGTATTTAGAAGGTAAGTTAAATTCTAATTAATTCATAATCAAGTTACATGCATGATACACGAAAATTATTATTAATTTTATTATTATTTTAATAAAACAATTACTTAAATAAAATTAATTTTTATTTTTTTAATATTAATTAATATAAAATGTATAATAATTACTCCTATAACTAAAGTCATTAGGCATATATTAAAAAAATTATAAAAAGTTATAATCTTAATTAAACCCCCCCTTTTTTTTTTTGAAAGATTTGTGGCCTTAATTGCACAAAAACTCTTTTATTTCCTATGAGAAATTATGTAAGGACTAAAGAGGATTGGAATTCCAGGCTCTCACCACATCAACATCTCGTCTCAAACACACAAATTCACATTGCAACTAGGATCAAATTAAGGCTATGTTTGGTATAGCTAGTGGAAAGTCCTTTTGATCTCTAAAAGCTCCAGTTGCATCAAACACTATAATATTTACAATAAGAATAAAAGGCTCTTGAAATCATGCATTCTTCTTATATATCAGCAAACAAGCATCTTTTTTTTTTTTTTTTAACAAACAAACAAAGTTTATAACCCCATTTGGCTCCTCCATGATAACAGCACAACACAACAATAATCTTGTCCTCAAAATAAAAGTTTTGCACCAATGTAAAGAAAATTAAGACACTTTCTTCTAACCTCCCAGCTTACTTCCTCTAATAATTGAAAATTGAAATTAGACTAGACTTGTAAATCATAGCTTCAATATATCTTCTTGTACTATAGATTTTTTATTTGGTTGGTAACAATGTTGGAGGATGCCACTTGGCCACTTGATGACATTACAAGAAGCTTATCACTCCTCTAAAATACAAAAGGCCTTTCCACGTTAGGATGAGGTCCAATAGATAATAACTTTGTCCAAGTCTCATTCACGCCAAATTCATCCATTACCCAAATGTCAAAACATTGTTTCTATCTTAGGCTTTTCTTTACAAAAAATAATATGTTATGAGAGCAAGATTTCCATTAAACACAAGGATCTCAAAATCAAGGGCATTCCAAAAGCAGTGATGAGATATAAATCCTAGTAATCTTGTAAATTGGAATGCTTCATCAGCAAAGTTGAAGGAAAAGATCTCATATACAAAACAATAATTGGCAGATACGATCTTGTGGGCTAATGATGTTTGGGTTTATATTGTGTTGCAGGCCAATAATAAGCTCCATTCCAATAACATAAGAAATGAGTAAAGTGAGTTAGGAGGATACAAGTACGGCAATTCAAGTACTCAATTTGTCTGGAATTGGGTGGTTTAAAAACTATCTACACTACCATTGGTCGTGATGGTCCATGGGATCTTAAAAGTTCAAGCCCAAGACTTGCTCATAAGTCCCATATCTTTGGGCTAACGCCCACAAGCTCTCAAAAGCTCAAACTCAATTTCTAGCTATAAGTAGTAATTAGTCTTCACACTTATATACAAGACTCACTCACAAGTCTTCACCAATGTGGGATCGAGGCGTTGCAATCTCCCTCACTTTAATGCTTGATTTCTCATCAAGCCCAAGCATGATCAAAACTAAGTTTATTGGACCACAAGCATAAGATTCACCTCAAGTGCTGTGGGTTCCACACTACCACCTACTGTGGGTTGTAATGGTCAACATGTAGCGTAGATCCATCACCAATGTGGGATTCGGGGCATTACAATCTCCCTTACTTTCATCAAGCCCAAACACAATCAAAATTAGACCCACCGAGGCACAAGTACAAGATCCATCTTAAGTGATGTGGGTTCCACACTACCACTAATTGTGATGGTTAACAGAGGTCCACACCTATGAGAAGTGATTATTCTAATACCAAGTGAATGACCTAGGCTAAAGTTCACCACTTGCCTAACAACTCCTCAGGCTAAGGTCTACAAGCCCTCAAAAGTTCAAACTTAAGTTATTTGTAGTGGTTGGTTTTTATGCTTATATACAAAACTCACTCACAAGTCCCCACTGATGTGAGATTCAAGGCATTACAGTCTTACTTCATAAGGAACATGAAGAAAGGAAGCATTAATCAACTATGAAGGTAAAATGCACGTCATGAACCACCTAGAATGATTTTCTTCCATCTTATAGGCATTGAAAGTAGCGGACTTTCTATGGAATGCAACTAAGTACAAACGACCCCAAGGTTCCCCAAAGTATCTGAGATGACGCATACCATTAGCAAATGCAAGACTCGGTAGCTTCATTAATGTTTTCTTATCAATATCAAATCGATAATAGGTGCAATCACCATTGACCTAGTTAATTGCTCTTTTCCAAAAGACTCCCTTTCAAATTTTGTTATTGGAGGTGAAATATATAAGACTTAGGGCAAGCCTCCTAAACTCCAATGTAAGATGAGTACAGATAAAGCTTATATTGAGATATGGAAAGAACAAGACTCTCCACAAAAACAACCACAAAACCATGCAATTCTAAAGGGTGATAAAGTAGATTCATGTTGCTAACAAGTGAAACAGAAGGCAAGGATGGAATAGACCAAAATTGACCCATAGCTAGATTTAGCACATAATGTTTGATCCAACCATCTTCTGTTCCACCATTTTTTTTTTTTTGATGCATTCTGTTCCACCATTTAGTATATGAAAACTTGTGCCAAAATTGTAGAGCCATAGCGCATTACAATCATCAAATATATTGATCATAAATGGATTGTGATTGTTGATCTGAAAATTTTTTTTCTTCTAATGGTAACCTTAATTTCTCTTCTAAGGAAAATAGCTCATAATTTGGATTAGTTGGCCTCAAAAACCATTCTTTCTTTGGTAGGGAACTGGAGAGCAAAAGACCAACAACAATGGTGGAATTCCTCTAAATGTAACCTTGAATAAAATTCTAATGGAAAATTAAGGAATGCCACTTGCTTGACACAATTGCCTTGGGAGGTAGATGCCAAAGAACTTTGATTAACATGTCTTCATTGCCATCTTACAAAATACTTGCTAAACCCATTTGGGGATATTCTTCTTTATCATTAGCCATTATGAAACCTTATGAATTTAAATTTGTTTTCAATTAGCAAATTGAAAACCAAATACAAAGGGTTCTTTTAGAATCCAGTCAAGAGTTCTTAGTTATTTCTAGATTCAAAGCAATAGAAGACAAATTGAAAATACACATTGAATGATAAACTAAACATAGGGCTAAATTAATGGTACAAATCTTGATGGCAAATGAGAGAATTCTTCTTAAATCCAGTCATGAGTTCTTGGTTTTCCTAGATATAGAGACAGAGCAACAAAACACAAAATTAAAAAATTGATAATCAAGGATTCAATTGAATGATATATTGAACATATATTGCTAAATTTATGATACTCAGTACTCACCTGGGAAAATCTTAATGGTAGATAATGTTGCACCAAATACGCATTAATCTTAGCAAGTGAATCTAATCGATTATGCAATATAAAATAAGATATCATTCCCTCAAAGACTATTATACACTATTAAGATAATATTAGTTTAGCCTAAGATGAATTAGTCAATTAATTGAATAAAGTTAAACTACTTAATCTAAAGGAATTTCCTAAGTAAAAGGAACTATGAATGAAAAGAAACTAGGGTTTAGATTTCATTTAATTTTGAATTATAGAACTATTTAATTAATCTAATCCAAGTTCAAATAACAATGTTATTGCATGAGATGGTAGATTTCTTTCAATTAATTAACTAGCTTTCTCAAGTCAAGCTAATCATTCCTTTGCTTATTAAATTAATCATATCTCTATGTAATTTAAAGCAAACTGGTCAGCATTAAATTTTGTGGAAACCTCTAACTGAAGAAGGGGGAGCTCCTAACTCTTTTCTTTTCCTCTACTACCACATGTGA